AGCCCAATCATTTCTCTGCAAGTACGAGACCAACGCGCCAGCTTTCTGCCACGACGTTCTCGACAGAGACCCTCCCACATCGCAGGATGCGCCTCCAGCACTGGGTCAAAGTACAAGTTGGGAAGCCCCTCCTTCTTGACACGCAATACATGCTCCTCGCCACTGGGAAGACTGTCGTCGCGAAACCGCCCGAAACTGTGCGACGCGATCTCGGGCTGGACGGAGTAGAAGTCCACGCCGACCAGGTCGCGGCCGGGAGCGAGAAGTCCGCCGAGCCAAACGGCGCAATGTTCCCGACACACACGCTCTCACAGCAGCGAGCGTCTGCACGCGGAAGCGCCGCGCGGGCTTCTTGCGAAGCAGGCTTCATCTTCGCCAGGGAAGCCGCGGCCACAGCCTCCGGGACCAGCGAATGAGCAACCCGCGTCTGCTCGCCCCCTGGCCCGCTCGGCTCAGCACCTCCAACTCCCCCGAGTTCATCGAGAACCCGAATTGCTACGTCGGATCGAACGTCGACCCAAGCCAGCACGCCTACAAAATCGATGCTTGACCCCACGGCTGAGATGAGCGGCAGGCCCCCCACCACCAGGGAGCCGAGGCAAAGGCAGGAGGTCGCGCTGGCGGCAGTCGAACATGCCCGCGTCAAAACTGCGCCACAGAACTCGACGTGGACCGCGGCGGAGAGGCGGCCCGACCTGGGCCACGAAGAAAGAAAAAGACGCGAGGCGACTAGCCCTTCTTAGCAAGGGCCGCCTCATCGCGAGCCTCGCATCGTTCTTCCTGGATCTGCGTCGCCCTGCAGCTGCGAGGCCACAAGCGCCGTGTGCTGCGGAGCCACTGCCGCCGTCCTCCTCCCCAGCACTTGGTAGTACACGCTCCCCTCGAACCTCGGCGCCTTCGGGTTCGCGGTATAGGCCTCCTCCAGCAGCCGCACTCTGCGCGCCAGCAGCTCGAAGGACGCCAGGGCTGATACGTCGATCTGATCATGCGTGATGGCCCACTCCAGGACCTCCATGAAACAGCCATGCTCGTGCTTGACCTGTCATTGTCCAGGATGTGAGCGTCGCGCATCCACTCCCTTATCCTGGTCCGTGGTATACACCCTGGGCCTCGAATGAACTTACAGCGCCAGAAGGTAGTCCTGGGGCCCTGGATGGGAGAGTCGTTCCAGATCGGCTCCTCCAGCAGACCCACCCCGTCGCTGCACGGGCGGTAGCGTAGGTTCTTCTGATCATACATGACCGGCAACACCCGCGCATCTGTGGACCGCACGCCCACACGAGCGCCCGCAGGGGAGGCCACTGGAGGGGCCCCCGCGATGGCAGTGGCGAGGCCGCCAGGCGCAAGAGCCGAGGCGATCACCAGCTCGATCTCCTCGCTCTTGTCGCCGAGGAAGCTGGCCTTCTTGGCCACGGACACGCTCTCCAGGACGATGGTGGTCGCGCCGAGCTTGACGAAGGCGAAGCAATCCTGGATGATAGCGCTGCCGTCCACACTCCAGTCCTGCCAAACCGCTGGCGCTCCCAGATGACGACCGTTGGCCAGCACAACCCCCTGGGTGGCCGCGGGCGGGTCGCCTGGGGCGGCGGGCAGGGCCGCAGCCAGGGGCGCCAGCGCAGCCAGGGCCCCGCCCACGGGCGCCACGACGCCAGCTTGGGCCGCGGCAGCGCCCCCAGGTCCCACCCCAGGCTGGACCGCGACGAAGGCTCCTCCAGGCTTGGGCACGGCAGCAACAACGGGCCCACCAGGAAAACCACAGCCAGCCACCCAGCCATGCGCCGCCACCTGGTCAGGCACTGCCACTGCCTCGGCGTCGGTGGTCGGCTCGACCACTCCAGGCGCAGCACGCTTCGAGCTGTGCGGTGCCGATCCCCGCGTCGAAGATGTTGCGCCACTCCTGGTTGGTGTGGAACTCACCCAGGGGAAAGAAGCGGTACAGCAGGGCACTGGGCGGGATCGCTTGCGGGACGACGCCTTGCACGCACGGCCGAGTTTCGAGAGCCATGAGATCTTCCCCGTACACGTCACCATCAGGCGTTGCGATGATCCATCTCGTCGCTTGGACCTAACAGAGCAGGAGGCCATCGTGCCAAAACGCCTCCCCGCCCCCATACCAGACCAGGACCAGCCGAACGAGCGCTATCGGACCCAGCGCGGCCATACACACGCCGCAGCCCAGCTCTCCAGATGGCCCATGCGCAGCAGCCAAGCGCCAGCCCCACGAGTCCCGCGAAGACCACCACGACGAGCCACCAGCGACTGAGGCCCGCCGCCTCTGGCGGGCAGCTGGCCTCCGGGCAGCTCGGGCGGGTGGCACCCCCGAGCGTGCAAGGGGGGCACCGGAGGGCAGGGCACGCCAAGCGGGGCGCGCAGGTGCAGTCTGGGCAGGATCGCTCGCTTTGCCCAGCCCACACGAGGGACGCGGTGCCCGCTCACCGCACGGCCTCCCGCGCAGCGTCCGCCAGCAGCTCCGAAAGCCAGGCAGACATGCACGGAGGAGAAGGCGCGGCAGCAAGACTCGTCCAGACCCTGCTGAACAACACGAGGCTACGAGCGAGGGAGGACGGGCACAAGGTCACTGCTGCTCCTCTGTCCCCTCATTCGTGTCATAGAACGTCCATCTAGATATCATTACTGCGCACGCACGCACATCATCATCATCATCATCATCATCATCATCATCATCATCATCATCATCATCATCATCATCATCATCACCATCATCATCATCATCATCATCATCATCATCATCATCATCATCATCATCATCATCATCACGATCATCAGCATCATCATCATCACCATCATCACCATCATCATCACCATCATCATCAGCAGCATCAGCATCATCATCATCAGCAGCATCATCAGCATCATCTTAATCATCATCAGAAGCATCATCAGCATCATCATCAGCAGAATCATCATCATGTTCAGCATCAACGTCATCACCATCAGCAGTAGCATCATCATCATCATCATCATCATCATCATCATCATCAGCATCATCATCATCATCATCATCATCATCATCATCGGCAGCAGCATCATCAGCATCATCATCATCATCCTCTTTCTCCTCCTCCTTCACTTCCTCCTCCTCCTCCTCCTCCTCAGCAGCAGCGTCATCAACATCATCAGCATCATCGTCATCGTCAACATCATCAGCATCATCATCATCATTATCAGCATCATCAGCATCATCATAAGCATCATCAGCATTCTCATCAGCAGCAGCATAGTCATCATCATCATCAGCATCATCCGCATTGTCGTCATTGTCGTCGTCGTCGTCATCTTCATCGTCACCATCACAACACCATGATCATCATCACCACCGCCGCCATCATACTCATCAGCATCATCAGCATCACCGTCGTTATCATCATCATCCGGATCATCATCACCATCAGATGCATCATCAGCATCGCCATCAGTATCATAATCAGAATCATCATCATCAGCATCATCATCGCCATCGTCATCATCAGAATCGTCATCACAACGACCACCACCACAATCATTAGAATCAGCATCATCATGAGCAGCATCATCCCCAACAGCATCAACAGTATCATTATCATCATCATCAGCCTCATCGCCATCATCATCCACTTCGTCATCACCATCATCAGCAGCAACAGTAGCAGCATCATCATTGTCATCGTCCACCTCCGCCTCCATCTCTTCTTCCTCCACTTCCTCCTCCTCCTCATCCTCCTTGTACTCATCTTCCTCGTCCTCCGCCCACTCCCATCATCATCATCATCATCATCATCATCATCATCATCAGCATCATCACCATCATCATCACCATCACCATGGTCATCATCACCACCATCATCAGCATCATCAACAACATCATCACCATCATCATCATCATCAGCATCATCATTACCATCACCATCATCATTATCAGCAGCATCATCATCATCGTCGTCGTCGTCATCATCATCATCATCATCAGCATCATCATCATCATCATCACCATCATCATCATCATGATCAGCATCATCATCATCATCATCAGCAGCATCATCATCATCAGCATCAGCATCATCATCATCATGATCATCATCATCATCATCAGCATTATCATTATCATCATAATCACCCTCATCATCACAATCATCATCACCCTCATCTCCGTCATCGTCAGAATCATCATAATCATCAGCATCACCGTCATCATCCTGGCTATCATCAACATCAGCATCATCAGCAGCATCATCATAGCCATCATCATCAGAAGCAGCATCATCATCGTCGTCGTCATCATCTTCATCAGACGCACACATCAGCAGCAACGTCCTCATCAGCATCATCTCATCACATCATCACCACCACCACCGCCATTATCATCATCATCATCATCATCATCACCATCATCATCATCATCATCATCATCATCATCACCATCATCAGCATCATCATCATCATGAACATCATCAGCATCGGTGCAACCATCCCAAGTATCATCGTTATCGTCCTCGTCATCGTCACTAGAATCATCATGATCATCATCATCTTCATCGTCATCATCATCAGCATCATCATCATGGTCATCATCATCGTCCTCATTATCGTCATTGTCATCGTCATCGTCATCACCGTCACCACCTCATGATAATGATCACCACCTCCACCCTCATCATCATCATCATCAGCATCAGCATCAACATCACCGTCAGCATCCTCGTCATCGTCATCGTCATTATCATCGTCATCATCACCATCATCATCATCGTCATCATTATCAGCATCATCATCATCATCATCATCATCATCATCATCAGCATCATCATCATCAGCCTCATCATTTTCATCGTCCTCCTCCTCCACTTCCTCCCCCTCCTCCTCCTCCTCCTCCTCCTCCCCCTCCTCCGCCTCCTCCTACTCCTCTTCTCTGGGGGGGTGGTTGGCGCAGCGGCAAGCTCGCGCGGGACAAGCAGGGCGGGCCGTCATGGCGGTTGAGCCTCCAGCGAAGAGCATGCAGCGGATCACCAAGGCATATCCATGATCTCCTCCAGCCTGTTGAGATTCACCATCTGACTCGCTGCGCTCGTGGAGATCTTCAGCAGCTCCTCACTGGCGATCACGATTGTCAAGGCCTGGGCACGAGAAAGTGCCACGTTCATGCGGTTCGGGTCCAACAGGAAGTCTAGGCGGCCACCAGCACCGCTGCTGGACCCCATCGAGAGAACGACAACGCACGCCTGCTGGCCTTGGAAGAGGTCGACGGTGCCGGTGCGGATCTGCGCCAGGTGCCCGCCCTCTTTGGCAAAGCGCTGCTTCAAGCGGGAAACGTGCGCGTTGTAGGGGCTGATGACGAGAACGTCCGCTGCCGTGATGGGCCTCCGCTTCTCACCCGTGATCTCCACGAAGTGGTGCGAGATTAGTGCGGTGCAGAGCTGCGTGGCTGCATCGATCTCCTCGACCGAAGTCTGCATGTTGCCGACGTGGCACTGGCGCAAGCACCTGATGCCAGAGGCGGAAGAGCCATCGTCGCGGATGACTCGATTGTCGCGTGCAGTATGGTGCGACTGCAGCTGGCCTTGATAGAAATGGCGGCCTACGAAATCGGTCAGAGGAAAGCTCATGCGGTAGGTCTCCGGCAAGAAGAAACCGCGGTTCGGCTCGACCACGGCGACAGCATCCCCGATGAAGAACTCAAGGCAACTCTTGCCACACTCGCCGGTGTGCACGCCATCCAGGAGCGGTTGCTTGAGCTGCATCTGGTCCCCAGCGAGCACTATGTTTCTAGCAGCCCCCGTCAGCGCGAAGAGGTTCGCGATGCCCACCTGGCCGGCCTCGTCCACGACCAGGTAGTCGAAAGCACTGGTCTGGAACTTTGCGGCACCGTGGACGGTGCTGCCGACAACCTTATGTCTTCTGGGGTCAACGTCCTCGGCGTTCACAGCCTTGAGATGCTGGCCCCATTCGTCCATCTTCTCACTTGGGCCGTTCACCTTGTACACGGGCATGTCCACGCTATTCAGCAGATTCACGATGGCCGCGTGGCTGTTTGACGACACCAGGACTGTCTTTCCCTTCTTCTGGAGATGCTCGATAACTTTCCCTGCGGAGCGCGTCTTCCCAGTACCTGGTGGGCCCTGGATCACCAATACACTGTCGCCCATCTGCAGGATGGCCCCCTTCATCTTGACTAACCTCTGCTCGCAGCAGTCCACTGAGGAGAACTTGAACTTGCTGGTCGAAAGCACGCTCGGGCACTCCCTGGCAAGAAAACGACGCGCACACGTCGGAGGGTTCGAAGCCAATTCCTGAATTTTGTTGACCAAATTCTTAGAAAACATGTTCCGGCCTCCAGGCGCTGAGATGAAGCTGCACTCTGCGATGGATACATGCTCAAGGTTCGCAGCGGAACGGCCTGCATTGAACTTGTTGTTCTGAAATTTGATGGAAATTGTCCTACTGTCCAGATCTAGTTGTTCAATAGCTCCACGCACGTCCGGCATCTGGAAAAGGAAGACGGTCGTCTTATCCTCCCGAAACTTCACGTCTTGACCAACCTCCCACGTGTAGCTTACGGACCACTCGGAGTCCCCGAATCTGTTGACATTGGTCTTTTCGCTGGCGTGGCTCTTCCTAAGACCGTGTAAGCAGTTCACCTGGTCTTGCCAATGCTCCACTGGCTTAGCGAAAAGCTCCGCGGCCTCTTACGACCTACCGAACCACCCCCACCCAACCCGAAGTCCCAAATGTTCCGGAGTGTCCCCCCACCGGGGATGGAGGACAAAGTGTGACCTTCGGGTTGGGACTTCGGGTTGGGTGGGGGTGGTTTGGTGGGCAGTGCGCCTCTACCATCAGGTACAAGTGATCGCGGGTGTAGAAGTCGCAGATCTCAGTGAGGCATCGCTGCGCCTCGCTGCACGATCCGCGGGCGATGCTGATGCGATTGTTCGAGCACCAGTCTGCGATGTGACGAAACATGGGGCTCGGCCTGCTCCCAAGTCCAACCGCAGCCAACGACTCGGGCAAGCAATCTCGGATGGCCATCACAGCACCAAGTCGGCCAGCCATGGCGTCCCGCAATTTCTTCTCCCAGTCGCGCCAGGCCGCAGGTTCGCCAGAACTTTCCAGCAGCCTCTCGACGGTGATGATGTCCGCCAGCTTCTCCACGAGGGCAATGTCGGTTGGGTTAACGCTGGCAGAGAAAAGTGTCGGGAAGCACCTCACCACATCTTGCAGATTGTACGACAACACTAGGGAAGAGAATGGGTCCCCGGCGCCATGAATCTGCATGCACTTCTGCACGTCGACGAGGCGAGAAGATGAGCCCCCGTACAGCATCTTCATGAGGCCTTCAAGCTGGCCGTGGCCAGCAGCCTCGGCGCAACGAAGCAAGTGCACCCGCACCTCGTCCCCAAAGTAATCCGCTACCGCGCCCCTGAGGCTCGACGCGGAGTGTCCTCATGCTAGCAGGGTCGTCCCTCAAATCCCACCAGCCCTCGTGGTACAACGAGCTGTATTTTCCCTCCGCTGGACCCCCTTCGTCCTCGATCTGGGGACGGATTACCACTGCTTCTTCCTGATTCATACACGCCACCCTCTCCCACCCGACCAGGGGCAAACCGGTAACCATGACGACGCCCCCACCCACCCCACCCATTATCCCTGTCGAAGAACAAGTGCAAAGCACAGCTTGCGGCGACATCTGGATCATGCGCGGGGGACGAGGGGGCGGCAGATTGCGTGCTGCCACAGGCCACATCGTCCCTGACAAAAACACAGCACAAAATACACGTTGCGGAAAAACCTTGATCTTGCGCGGGCGCCCCACGATCATTTTGCATTCTCATCGCGTGCGTGTGTGTGTTTTTTGGCTCGATGGTCCAGGATGGTCCTCGATGGTCCTCGCCGAGGAAAAATGCACACGCCCGAGCGATGCCAAGATGATGGGGTTGTCCTCGCACGCGCGGCGCACCTCGCGGGCGTCTCGCACCTGGCTGGCGTCTGCACTGGTTCCCCCTTCTTATCGATGGCGACCCCTGCCCATGCTGAGACTCGGCTGCTACTTATGTGGTTCGAGGGCGGGCGGGAGCGAGCGAGACGGCCGTTCTTCGTGGAGGGTAGCTTGATCACTGCTCCATAAGAGATACACCCTTTGCCCAACCAGACAGGGAGCAAACCTCGAACCATGACCACACACACACACACACAAGCCATCCCTTCCAAAAAACACTACGATGTAAAACGTGCGGCTAAATCGAAACCATGCGCGGGCAACCCGCGATCACTGTGCATTGTTCTTCTGGCAGGGATGGCGAGGGTGTCGGCATACTGCTCGCTGCGCGCAGGCCCACGACCCCTGCCGAAAACAAAGTCAAACCACACTCTGGGGCGAAACTGGATCATGCGCGGGCTCCCCATGGCCACTCTGCACGTCGGCATATTACCTCCCGTATTCGGGCCCGGTGCGCTTTTGACAAGGGTGGTGAACGTTTCTTCTTCGGCGTTTCGACATTGGGCGGAACGGGGGGCCGGAGGGGGGGCTCTGGCTCCGGACCTCTGCTCAGTGCGACTGGTCGCAGCAGTGCGCCCTGTGGGGGAAGCTCCACCTGCTCAGAACAGGCGCCCCGATCCGCAAAACGATGCATAAGAAAACGATCACATGGTGGGGGGTCGCCATGCTTCCCGATGTGTGCTGCCACTCCCGTCGGCGCACATGACGCACTCTACGAGGGCCGCGCACGTTTCGGTGGCGACTCGTGGGAGCCTCCCGCACCATCTTGTCCGCTCTTGCGAATCGGCGCTAGCTGACGCTAAATCAACGCTAATCGACGCTACATCGACGCCAATCGACGCTAGCCGACGCTAATTCGCCGCCTGTCGACTCCCAGACGCCAATCGACGCGAATCGACGCTAAAGTCAGAATCACGAGGATATACAAGGCCACCATGATTCGCTACCGAGGCGCACTTGGCACATCTGGAGCAGCCCGAGCACGTGGCACGCGCGGCGCGCGTGGCGCACGTGGCGCATCGGGCGCACCAGGCGCGCCTGGCACGCCTGGGCCCCTGGGGCGAGGGGCGGGCCTGACGCGCGTGGCGCGCCTCGCCGGCGTCGTGCGCCAGGCGGCTGTATTTTGTCCCGCGTGGGCTGTCCACCGAACGGCGACCCACGAACATGCTGAGACTCGGGTGCTGCTCGTGCTGGGAGGGCGGGTGGGGGCGAGCAAGTCGGCCTGCCGCCTATAAGCAGCTGATCGATCTCATTGACAAGCACCCTCTCCCCCATCCGACCGGGGGCAGACCAGAGACAAAATACCAACACCATCACCCCATGCGCGGGCGCCCCGCGATCGCTTTGCATTGTTGTTTGACAGGAACGGTGGGGGGGGCCTCACATTGTCTGGTGTGTGCGGGCACCTCACCTGTCAAAAAATGCAAAATAATTGTGGATGCACATACCATAACCATGATGGCCGCTCCGGCGCTATTGTTCAATTGGCTTTTGACTGGCATGGTTGGGGGGGTCCCGATGTGCGCTGCCACGTACACTGGCGCACCTGGCACGGGTGAGCACAAGGGACAATGCCAACACCCCTCAGTCAACTTCTTTCAAAAGAAAAAAAAACGTATAAAGGGCAACCCGCGATCACTTTACATTGATCTTAATAGGGACGAGGGGGGGCATCATGTTGGCCGCTGTGCGGAGACCAATCACCCCTGCAAAAGCGCACGCTGCGGCAGAATCTGGGACCCTGCGCGGGCGCCCCGCGACAATGTTGCACTGTGGCTTGGCAATGGCCAGGATGACGGGGGTGCCCCAGCACGCGCGGCGCACCTCGGGGGCGGCACGCACCTGGCTGGCGTCTGCACCAGCTCCCGATGAGTGTCGATGGCGGCCCCTGCACGTGCTGAGACTCGGGTGCTACTTACGTGGTGGGCAGGCGGGCGGGAGTGAGCGAGACAACGGTGCATCAGGGGGGGTAGCTCGACCGCTGTTCCTCATTTAAAAACACCCTGGCGACAAAGCGGGCCAATGAGGGCCCCACCCCCCGCAATCTTTTCTGCAAAAACAATACAAAGTGCACCTTGCACCAAAATCTGGATCCTAAGCGGACGCCCCGAGATCAATTTGCATTGGTTTTTGGCAAGAGAGGTGGGGGTACCGTCATACTGTCCGCCCTGCGCAGGCCTACCATCCCGGTCAAACACACAATGCAAAATTCACGTTGAGGCAAAATCTGGACCGTGAGCGGGCGCCCCGTCAGCACTTGCATTCGTTTTTGACACGGACGGCGCCGGTGCCCTCAAAAATCTGCCCTGCGCAGACCCACCATCCTTGTCAACACACATTGTACAGGACACTGTGTGGTAAAAGCTGGTTCATGGGCGGGCGCCCCGCGATCATTTTGCATTGGTTTTTGACAGCAGGGGGCGGCGGGGAGGGGCCTCCTATTGGAGAGAGCGTGATCCACCGCCGCTTTACTATGGAAGATTCCCCCCCTCTTCCTCCGGAACCCAAGGGTTCCCCCCCCTTCGAAAATCGCCCCACCTTGCTGGAACCCCCCCCCTTCCCCTTCCCCCGGAAAAACCACTCCCCCCCTAACCCCTCCCAGCCCTCCGGAAAACCGGGAGGGGTCACTACTGGTTCGATGCCCCCCCCCCCTCCAGAAAACTGGGGGGGGTCACTACCGGTTCGAACCCCCCCCGCCCCACCGCCGGCAAACGACTCCGGGGTCCCCAACACCGTCCACACCACATCCCCCAACGCTGTCCCCAGCACCACCGTCCCCACCACCAATGTCCGCACATTTTCCCACCACCGTCCCCACTGTCCCCACCAATGCCCCCACCACTGTCGCACTGTCCCCACTGTACCCACCACTGTCCCCACCACGGTCCCACTCCCCCCACTTTGCCCACGGTCCCCACCACTGTCCCACTGTCCCCACTGTCCCGACTGTCCCACTGTCCCCGCCGCTGTCCCGCTTGTCCCCACCACTGTACCCCCTGTACCCCTGTTCCAGTGCCCCACCACCGTCCTCACCACCGCCCCCACCATTGTCCCCACCACGACCATCCCCACCACTGTCGCACTGTTCCCACTGTCCCCACCACTGTCCCACTGTCCCCACACCACTGTCCCCACCACCACCGTCCCCACCACTGTCCCACTGTCCCCGCCACTGTCCCAGTGTCCCCCCGCTGTCCCCACCAGTGCCCCCACCAGTGTCCCCACTGTCCCCAGTGCCCCTACCATTGCCCCACCACGGTCCCACTCTCGCCATTGTCCCACCTGTCCCCACCACTGTCCCACTGTCCCCACTGTTCCCGCCGCTTTCCCACTGTCCCCACTGTCCCCGCCGCTGTCCCACTGTGCTGTCCCACTGTGTTGTCCCACTGTCCCCAGTGTCCCCACCACTGTCCCACTGTCCCCACTGTCCCCACCACTCTCCCCACTGTACCACTGTCCCACCACCGTCCTCACCACCGCCTTCACACCACCACTGTCCCCACCACCGTCCCCACCACCGTCCCACTGTCCCCACCACTGTCCCACTGTCCCCACACAACTGTCCCCACCACCACCGTCTTCACCACTGTCCCAGTGCCCCCACCACTGTCCCACTGTCCCGAATAGCGGGAATCGATTGCCGGCGGCGGGGGGGGAAGGGGGGCTCGAACCGGTAGTGACCCCCTCCCACTTTCTTCATGATGGACGGGCGGGGGGGGGGCGTTCGAACCGGTACTGCCCGCCCCCCGTTTTCGAAGGGGGTAGGGGGGGGGGACGGGTTGGGAACCCTCAGTGACCCCCCCAGGTTTTCCGCCAGCAGCGGTAGAACACGTTCTTTTTCATATTGACTGCTAGTTGCACGCGCACGACCCTTGGCAAAAACCATACGAAGCGCACTACGCGGCAAAATCTCGATCATGCGCGGGTGCCCCACGATCATTTTGCATTGGTTTTTGACAGGGGCGGCGGGGGTGCCCTCATACTGTCTGCTTCGTGTTTCCGATGGGAACCATGGGCTAAGTGGGATAAGGGCCCTAGGCTCGGATGCTGCCCATGTGTTGGGAAAGCGGGTGGGAGTGAGCGACACGTGTTGCGGTTTGGGGTAGTTTGATCACTGTTCCCTGTTAGGGGATACCCCCCGGCGAACGGCAGCCAACCTGTCCCCATGACGACCCCATCCTTGCCAAAAAAACATGCAATATACAATTTGCCTCTAAAACCGGAAGCATGCGCGGGCGCCGCGCGACCACTTTGGATTGGCACTCGGGTGCGACTCATGTGTTGGGAAAACGGGTGGGGTGAGCGACACGACTTGCGCCTTGTGAGCAGGAGGTGCCTTGATCACTGTTCCCTATTTGTAAACACCCCCTCCCCCAGGCGACTGGTAGCCAACCCACAACCATGCGCACACCCCCCACCATCCCTTGCAAAAAAACAATACGAAATTCACTCTACCTCCAAATTCGGGGCATGCGCGGCCAACACGATGCGGCCTCACCACACCATCCCTGTCAAAAACCAATGTTGACTACACTTGGCGGCGGCGGCGGCGGCGGCGGCTGCGGCGGCGGCGGCTGCGGCGGCTGCGGCAGCGGCGGCGGCGGGGGCGGCGGCGAGGGCGGCGGCGGGGTGGCGGCGGCGGCGGCGGCGGCGGTGGCGGCAGCGGCTGCGGCGGTGCGACTGCGGCGGCGGCGATTGGGCAACGGGGGCGGCAGCGCGGCGGCGGGCGACGGCGGCGGCGGCGGCGGCGCGGCGGCGGTGGCGGCGGGCAGCGGCGGCGGCGGCGGCGGCTGCGGGCGCTGCGGCGTATGCGGCGGCGGCGGCGGCGGAGGCGGCGGGCGGCTACGGCGGATTGGCCCCCAGTAGCTGCCCATCCAAAGACGAATGCTGAATATGCTGAACCTCGGGCCAGGACTCGGGTGCTACGTATGTGTTGGGAGGGCGGGTGGGAGTGAGCGAGGCGGCTTGCGGGCGGGGAGGGAGGTTTGATTACTTTTCCTTATTAGTATAGACCCCCTCCCCCAGGCGACCGGGAGCCAACCCGAGTCAATGAGGGCACCCCCCCACACCATCCCTTGCAAAAAACAATACGAAACACACTCTGCCTCCAAATTCGGAGCATGCGCAGCGCACCCGATGCCGCCTCCCCCCCACCATCCCTGTCAAAAAACAATACAGAGTACACATGCCGGCTGCGGCGGCTGCGGCGGGGGTAGCGGCTGCGGCGGCTGCTGCGGTGGCGGCGGCGGTGGCGGCGGCGGCGGCGGTGGCGGCGGCGGCGGCAGCGGCGGCGCGGCGGGGGCGGCGACGGCGGCGGCAGCGGTAGCGGCAGCGGCTGCGGCGGCAGCGCTGCGGCGGCGGCGACTCGGCAGCGGGGGCGGCGGCGGCGGCGAGCGGCGCGGCGGCGGCGGCGGACAGCGGCGGCGGCGGCGGCCGCGGCGCGGCGCGCGGCGGGCGGCGGCGGGCGGCGGCGGCGGCGGCGGGCGGGCGGCGGATTGGCCCCCCGTAGCTGCCCATCCAAAGACGAGTGCTGAATATGCTGAGCCTCGGGCCAGGACTCGGGTGCTACGTATGTGTCGGGAGGGCAAGTGGGAGTGAGCGAGACGGCTTGCGGGCGGGGAGGGCGTCTTGACCCGTCCCCCTACCCCCTCCCCGCGGGGATCGGGAGAAGGGGGCCGTGAGGGATTAGAGGGTCCGATTTGGCTCAAGATGGCTCCAACAGGGTCTCGCGCGGCTCAAGATGACTTCCAAGGTAGACTTCGAAGAGGTCCCACGAAGGTCACAAGACTGCCCCAGGTGCCCCCAGAGCCCCCCAAGGCACCGCCCAAAAGTCCCAAAATCGTCCCGAAACATACTGGAAAGCAATGCGTTTGACAGTCTCGCATTTGAGCCCCCGATGGGTCTCCGAGACCTCAAGATGGCTCCACGATGGCTCCCCAGAATCCCGAGAGGAGCCCTAGAGGACCAAAAGGCGGAGCGAGGGAGCGAGGGAGGGAAAGATTAGCCACATCCCAGGCAAGGCGGCGGGATGGGCTAGAGTCTGTGGATACATGGCGCCGTGATTACTGCGGAAGACGTGGCTCCAAAACGTCTTGAAATCGTTCCACAGCATCACGCCCTGGGAGTCGCTATACCCGCGCTGCATGCAACAAAATGTGTAATCACCCGTGGATTTGACGAAGACAACGTCGATGATGCATAAGCTTACGCACGATACTTTCTTGGGTTCCTCAAGCGACCTGATCGACTTGGCCTGTTTGTGGAGTCGGTACCATCTCGCCTCCGACATCTTGCCTCTCAGGGAGGCAGGAAAACACAAGCTGTTCGCCACACTGTCTAGCCGTGCAAAGCCAGCTGCGACGAGTGCAATCCTGTCATACTCCTTCAGGCCAGGAAGCAGATCGAGGCTCTCAATCTGACGAAGGCGACGGATGACAGCGTTGTGGTACCTGCCTGCAGCTTGGTCAGCAGGTGGCTCCTGCGGGGGGTCGGCTTTGAGCCCAGCCCTGTAGAATCCGCAAGCCTTGTCCAGCAGAGAGGTGAGCACGCGGTCAAAGTCCGACACCTGGAAACGCTCCTCTCCTTTGCCCGTCGTGGATACGATGACGGAGCCGCTGCACTGAACGCCCATGGAGACGAGGACGTAACGGTGGAACAGGGCCTGCTTGATGTGCTCTGGCGATGCGGCGGATGCGTCCTTGAGTTCGATCACAGTCAGACGGTCGCCCTCGCGCCTCAGGAGATCAATCCTGCCATGCAGCGTAAGCCCCAGGCTCTTGACGAAGCACTCCACATGAGCATGGACAGCGTAGGTGAATGATGCTTCATTCAGCTGCGCACACGTGAACTTTAAAGGGCCATCGGATGCTGGGAATGACCTAAGATCAACGACACGATCCTCGGAAATCGCCTTGGCCACATCTATCATGTTCGCCATCATATCCGACTCTGCGGCGGTGCCTCGCTGCAGGATGGATTTCTGGATCTGGCTGCTCGGCAGAGGGGCATCGTCGACACCTTGCGCCACACGCCACGCAGCCCAAGCGGAGAAAGGGCTGCTGTCATAGGCTTGAACTTCCGACCACGCGATTCGCGTACTGTCCATTTCTGGCGATGCTATGCACTCTAGCTGGCTCCAGAAGAGGCCTTGAGCAAGAGATGCCTTCCCAACGAAACACAATCACCGAAGAGGTCCGCAAACGCGTAGAAACCATTCTCTATAACTTTACCATCTGGGGATTCCCTGGACGCCCCTGCCAAGGGTCCCCCCGGGCTTCCCGGGGCTCCTGGACGCCCCTGCTGGGCCGAGCCAACGGGCCCAGCTCGGTCAGAAGAGCAGCCCAAGGGCCCGGCGAGAGCCCCAAACAGCCCCAGACACCGACCAAACGCCCGAAGACGACCCAGAGAAGACCCCCCAACAGGCCCCGGAAACGCAAAACAAAAACGCTGTTTTTGTTCAGTGGGCCGCTCGCGATGGTCTGAATACTCCGTTTTCCCGTCTTCTGGACGCACGAGACCGACCAAAGAGGCTGAAAAATCGCCCAATGATTACCCAAAAGGGCTTCCAGACACTCTAAGAGAGCCCCTAGTCGGCCCAGCAGGCCCAACACGGCCCGAAGAGAGCCCCATGACGGCCCAAGGTGGCCCCAAGACGCCACCCGGAGCACTCCAAATCGTGACCTGGTCGTTCAGGGCGACCGCGGTTGGAAACCCAGATAGCCCAAGATGGCCTCCCAAGATGGCACAAGATAGCCCAAGATGACCCCAGGTAGCTTCCAACAGTCCCCCAAGAAGCCGAACGACCGCCCAAAGACTGCTCCAAGGGGCCTCGGAGCCTCCCAAGGAGTCTCCCGAGAGGCCCACGTCATCCAAATCGTGACCTGGTCGTTCAGGGAGACCGCAGTTGGAGGCAGGGCGGCCCGAGCAAGCCCCCAGAGGCACCCAAAGGCGCCCAGGAGCCCTCAAGAAGGCCCCAAGAAGCCCTCAAAAACTTTCGCGAGGCCCCCAAGAGGCTCTCCGAGGAGGAGCGTCCGCGAAAAGAGCTGGGGAGGATTGGAAAGGGATCGCGGAGTAGGGCAAGAATGAAGGAGAGGAAGAAGAAACATGAGGGAAGGAGGAAGGAATAACATTCTTACGGTGCATACCAAGCCTGAAGGACCAAGGTGCATGGCGGGAAGCGCCAATGTAGTCTTGTGTACACATATATATATATATATACGTGTGCGTATATACCTATGTGTGTATATATCACCCCCGTGTGGGGCCACCAAGCTATAGGGCGAAGGTTCGCAGTTTCCTGCGCCAGTTGCAGTTTCCAGCTTCCACTGTTACAGTTCTGCTTCTTGCTGCTTACTGTTCCTTATTAACTTCTTGCTGCTTACTGTTCCTTGTTGATGGACCGCGCGAGGGGGGGAGGCCCAAAACGGACATTTCTACCACGGAAAAATCGTATGCTCTGAATTGCTGGGGTGGGTAAAAATTCCCCCCCTCACGCAGATCGGCGGGGTCAGGGTCCAAAAACACATAGGATTTGCCACATGTCTGACATTCGGTGGCACCCCTCACGCAGATCGGCGGGGTCAGGGTCCAAAAACACAAGGGATTTGCCACATGTCTGACATTCGGTGGCACCCCTCACGCAGATCGGCGGGGTCAGGGTCCAAAAACACGAAGGATTTGCCACATGTCTGACATTCGGTGGCACCCCTCACGCAGATCGGCGGGGTCAGGCTCCAAAAAACATAGAAAGGATTTGCCGCATTTCTACCATTCGGTAGCACCCCTCACTCAGATCGGCGGGGTCAGGGTCCAAAAACACATAGGATTTGCCAAATTTCTGACATTCGGTGGCACCCCTCACGCAGATCGGCGGGGTCAGGGGGGAAAAAACACAAAGGATTTGCCACATGTTTGAAATTCGGTGACACCCCTCACGAAGATCGGCGGGGTCAGGGTGCAAAAATAAAAGGGATTTGCCACATGTCTGACATTCCGTGGCACCCCTCAAGCAGATCGGCAGGGTCAGGGTCCAAAAACACAAAGGATTTGCCACATTTCCAACATTGGGTGGCACCCCTTACGCAGATCGGCGAGGTCAGGGTGCAAAAACACGTGGGATTTGAAATCCGGCGGCATCCCTCACGCAGATCCGTAGGGTCAGGGTCCATAAACACAAAAGATTTGCCACATTTCTGAAATTCGGTGGCACCCGTGACGCAGATCCGTAGGGTCAGGGTCAAAAAACAAACAGGTCCCGACACTGCTTCACGGCGGCGCCCAGACCTCATGATTTAGCTTTTGCATCTCCCATTATCCGAGACAGGGGGCCGGCGGCATGGGGCGAAGCCCTTACGGGTATATATATATATATATATATATAATATATATATATATATATATATATATATATGTGTATAGACTGTTACGAACTACCTACGCCCCGTCGTCTTGACCCCATGAATGTCCTGAGTGTGTGTGTGTGTGTGCAACAAGTAACCAGAGCAATAATGGCCCTTGCGACGGGATCTGAATTTAATCAACGTGGTCGCCCAGATACACGAGAAACAAATCTGCTGGACGTTCCGAGCGGTCAGTCGAGCGACCACTGAAAGCGGTCCATTATCATGTTCGCCTCGTCGCCTAGGAACGCCTCACCGCTTATATCCCTCATGACCAACATCACACCAGCCCTTTCTAGGGCGTGAGTGATTCAACGATTTCGCATCCCCCTCATCCCCGTCGGTGAGGAATTGACCTCTCCCCCATACACCCTCACCATCGGTCCGGAACCAAGCGGCCCCACGAGAGCCACAAGAGTGCCCAAAAGGCTTCCCCAAGATGGCTCCAAGGGGCTCCCGAGGGTTCTAAGTTCACCATGGCTTGGCCGCCGTGCTTCATTATATGCTTACCTGCGCCCCTCCTCCAGGCAACTCCCCTGGGCATTGCTTCGACGACGACGACGACGACGACGACGACGACGACGACGGCCACACGCCCCAGAGCATCTGCGCACCTGGGTGGGCGGCGGATGGCTTCGGGTCGCGCCGTCGCCCCAGACCCGCGGACTTTTTCTTGGGGAGACGGGCCCCTTGGTGGAAGAGCTCAGGGACTCCCGCCCACAGGGATGAAGGGGGAGTCCTCTCGAACATACAGAGCACTTCATGCGGGATGACGATTAATAAAAAAATTGGGGAGAACGATTAAAAAAATGGTTTCCTGCTATTTCTGCACGATTTTCTGACTGGAGGAGAACGCTTGAAAAAAAAGTTTTCCGGCCCGCGGCCGGTTCTTTTTAATCGTCATCCCGGGCGCCGCCGCGTGAACACGACCCCCGGTCATTTATTAATCGTCATCCTCCATTACTTCCAATTAGGGTCATTTGCAATTCTGGCCATTGCCAGTTCCGGCCCCGGTTTAGAAACGAGAGGTGCCGACTGGATGGGGGCGGTAGCGCCGTGCCCACGAGTTAGGAATGAGCGCTCTGTAGGTTGGCACAGTGCTTGGTCGAGTCCCAATGCGACCGTTGACTCACACTGCACGAGTAGTCCCACCAGTCCGCTGGGCGCCGGTGGTTTAACGAGAACCGATCTTCCCCTTGTGCGAGGGGGAATGCCCCTCCCCCTACCCCCTTCCCTAGGTCTCGACCCCCCCCCTACCCAGGACGGCTTCAAGCTGGCCCCAGATAGCCCAAGATGGCCTCCCAAGATGGCACAAGATAGCCCAGACGGTTCCAGGTTGCTTCCAACAATCCTCTAAGAAGCCGAGCGACCGCCCAAAGACTGCTCCAAGGGGCCTCGGAGCCTCCCAAGGAATCTCCCGACAGGCCCACGTCATCCAAAAGCTGTGGGAACGTCAAAGATAAATGTGCCTCCCGCGGTTCCTCCTTCGAAAGTGGGATATCGCTGGACACCTCGCTGACCTGCATGGTCATTGGTGTTGTCGCGCTCCTACCTGTTGGCCGCGAGCGAGGGGGGGGGAAGTGAGACGGAGAAGGCCCAAATTGCCAAATTTCCCAAGAATAGCAACCGACTTCTTTCTTTTTTTTGGGGGGGGGGCGAGCCTTCCAGCGAGGACGAACAGGAGGGTTGAGGATCGAGACGTGTGAGCGTTCTCTGTTATCTGTCGGCTTGGCTTCTGGAGGCCGCCTTCTCAGAAGGCTCGGAAGTCCCCCGGTCTTGTGAGAAGCTTCCTCAGCCTTCCCCGAAGACAGAGCAAAACTTCCTAGAAGGCGCGAGGGATTCTGAGAAGTCCGACCGCCTTCTGAGAAGGCCTTCTCCTTCTTCTCATTCCCCCCTGGGCGCGCCGCCGAATGTCGGTCAAAATCGGTCCCCGGACCCCTCCCAGGGTCCATCCGCACGGTTTTCGCCCCGGATGGAGCTTCGGGGGTCCTGGGGCCTGACAACGGCCCGCAGAAGCCGAAAGCGATGAAAAACCGCCTCGGACACCGAACCTCGAGTTTCGAACCTCGAAGTTCCCCCCCTCGCTCGCCGCCG